TCCAAAAAAATATTTGTGTGGTCACCTAACTTGGCTGTAATAATTTATGAGGAGCAATAAGCCTAAGTTGACTTAGTACAGGTAAACAAATAGACTTTTTTTTTCTTTATTTTAATGTAATTAAACCTTTAATTTATTTGTTATATATATATATATTTTTAAATACTTTCTAAGGAATAATTGTTTTGGGTAAAATGACATACACCATATTGGGGTAAAATGGCATACATGTCATTTTAGGCTCCTACTACTTGATGGTCACGTTAGCCACAAACAATTAGCAGTTATCGACTTATTATACTCAGGCAATTCCAAAGTGGCTCAAGAATAACCCTGGTCCAATTGTACCTTCCTTTTAAGTAGGAAAGCTATTTGCTGAAGTCTATGAACGTAGTGCAACAATGGAAAATTCCGTTAGTAAGTTCAAAAAACTGGAATCGATTCGTTCAAAGCAAATATTTTTCCCTATTGGGTGTTTGCTGCTTCTTTAACAATATTTCTAAACAAAATGATCTCGAATCATAAACACTAGACCACCCGCCTCCACTTACACCCCCTCTACCATCAGACGCTATTGAGATTACGGACTTACCTGGATCATCAAATACCTCTCAGATAACTCTAAATAAAGAAAGTATACTAGACTGTAGTCAAATTTTCGTAGAGAGCATAATTTCAATAACGGTTTCCACGTCTTTTAAACGTAAAAGACAAGGATCGGTTATGCTAACCACAACACCAAACTTAGAAGAACTCAGGGTTAAAGAGGAACAGCAACGTTTAGTCTTGGAGCGACAAGCAAAACGTAACCAGCTTAGAATCAAGCTGTGAGACGATGAAGATGAGCAAGAAACCTAATACCCATTTGCTGGCATTGAAGATGATGGGGAAGACAATGCATGTAATTATTACAACAGCCTTTATTCCCTGGTTGCATAAAGTAGATCGTTTTGACACTTGCTGCGATTACAAAATATATTACTTTATATGTCAAAATTAGAGAAAATAACAAAATATAAATTAAATGGATAGATCCCATATTATTATAGAACAGTGTTTCTCAAACTTTTTTGACGACGGAACCTTTTTGAAAAGCGAAATATTTGAAGGAGCCCTAAACACATAAAACACAATTTAAAAAATATTTTTCAAATTTTTCTTCATTTTGACTTTTAATAGGTAAACGTGATAAAAAATCGGCTTTATATTATGCTCCGATTTCACATATTCAATTTTATAAATGTAATTTGACAATATTACTGCCCATCTACGTAATCTGTTGGCTGAAAATTGGGGTATACCTTTAGCTGGGTTAAAAATAGTTACCAGTGATAAGTGATCTGTAACTAGGATAAAGAAATATCCATATAAATATTCATTAAATTTATTTAGGCCAAAAATTATTGCAAGGCCCTCTCTTTCAATTTGGGAATATTTTTGGTCGGACTTTGATAAGGTAGGCGAAGCAGAAGCTATAGGTTTCTCAATATTTTTTTCAAAAACATAACATATCATGGCCCTTATTCCCACATTTGATGCATCTACGATTAATTTAATCAGCAACTCAGGCTTAAAATGCACAAGAACATCATTTGTTAATTTATTTTTGATTAATTCAAAAAACTCCTTGCAAGAATTATCCCAAATCCATTTCACCCATAAAAAATAAAATAAAAAAAAAGTCCTCAAGCAAAATCATATCCTCCTTCCTCTTAGTGACTTAAAAAAATAACTTCTAAAAAAAAAGGTCCTCAAGCCAGGTCCCTCCATTTTATGGCGATAGTACTGTTTTTTTTATTATGATTATTTTCTTCGCAGAGCCCTCACAAAGGCTTTGCGGAGCCCTAGGGCTCCGCGGAGCACACTTTGAGTAACACTGTTATAGAGAAATACTAAATAAAGAGTTTTGAAAAAACTATTGAAACCAGTTGTGAAGTTTGAAACGAATAAATTGGCAAGGAAATTGATATTTTTGTATTTGATTGTATGTTACTCTTTCCACTTCCTGAAAAAAGATTCCCCATGAAACAAGAAATAGTAAACAGTTTATAATAATAACCTTTATTTGCTACTTATAACATGTACTAATGACCAAGTCCGATTCTGTTTATTTTAAAATCAACAAATATGGCCGTCGACAGAATCTTTAAAAATTAAATAACTCACCAAAATAAATGTAAGTTTCTTTTATCTCCGTCACTTTTCGCACTTTTATTATAAATAAAGCTTTTTACAACACATATTGGCATTTTCAACGTTAATTTCCAAAATTTAAGTCACTAAAATACCAAATTAATTCTCGTTGACACATTAAATTTGGAGGGACAACGCTCTGACATGTGATATTCGAAACTGTGATTGGTGGGTGTGAATAATTTCGAAATGGGATTATGCGCAGTGTCTTATGTTCCATCCAAGGTTTCTATAATCTAAGGCTGTAAGCCACTATTGTAAACTTCGAACACTTTTTATAACCTAGCTCTCTATCTGTAAGGTAAGGGAGGGTGGATTGCCTCACAGTTCTTAGGCCTAACTAGGCCAATTGTGCATCCTTCTAAACTCGCCATCCAGTCTATATAGCCCGTATTTATAAATCAAACTCAGGTAAGTCTGCCCTTTAACGAAAACCGAAGTTTACTTGTAACTGCTCTAGAGTTCAAAGTAGTTCTAGTGTTGCACTCGAATTTACAGATGGATAGTAATAAATCTGCAACTGTATAGTACATTTACGGATTTGTTACTGCCATCTCTAACCGAACTTCAATTTTTATTTAAGAATAAACTCATCTGAGTTCGATTTATAAATACAGGTCCATGTTGGCTAATTTTTGCAGAACACACATATCCTAATAAATAAAGGGGCATAGGGAAACCATAGAGAGCATGTTTCATATTCTCATCTTCCTCTAGAGTGTGGAGCCTGACAGTCCCATGCTGAGATTGTGCTTTCTTAGTCAGCAATGATCAGTAAGAATTCATATGATCAGGTGCAGATTCTGTCTAGGCATTAGATTTAATTTTTAGAGAAGTTGTCCACCTCGACCTTTTCAGATTTATTGTGGAACTCTATTATTTAGAGTGTGTCGTATAGCCTGAGTTTTTTTTATTGGACATAGTAGCTTTGCCAGTGGCTTTCGCATGTATCTACAATAATCTACATGTTTTTTTTCTGGTTTGTCTTCGCCTAGTGTTAGAAAGCCTCATCTAGCCAGGCCTTTAGACCAGTACATTGATGTTTTTTATTCTTCTTCTTAAAATCTGCACAATGTGACATCTACTGCTAGATTGATGACACTCACGTGCCTTTAGTACTCTTATTCTAACGATTTGTCGTTTTTGATCCAGTAGATCTTTCGTAAACTTAGCACTTGGTCCTTAATGAATTCTTTTGCTCATTTCAATCTTAGATAGTTGTTCCACCATTTTTCTTTTTGTGTCCTTTGTTTAATGAATGCTTTGCACACTAGTTTAGTAACTCCAAAGAAGGGTTCGGGGCATGGCCCTAATTTCCTTCGTGGCCAAGTACCTAAGCTAAGATCACTTTGTTTGACTGCTTAGTTTTTTTAGATTTGTTTGCTATAGTATTTATCAGGGAGACCTAAAAAAAGTTCCTAGCAAATTTGCAGATTCTTGTTGCATCCCACATTTTCTGAAATTTTATGAGGGAATGTTCTTTAATTATGTTTGTCACGGCCGATGTTGTTAGTCCATATTCAAAAAGTGTGAATCAGCAAGAGTTACCTTTCGATGTGGCGTGGCCGTTGATCCATCTTAAGGTGACGCTGATGAATACTCCGGCCAAGGCTAAATGACATTCTAGTACTATCCTTGAGTAAATTCGCTATCTGTCCAGAATGAGTAGTGCTTGTCTGCTACCTGCATAGATGAACATATTCCTTCTAATAATCATGAATAGATAAAAAAGTGTTGATTCCCTGATTATTCACTCCTCTCAGTACTGGTGACTTTAGTCCTGTCAGTATTTATCGTTTTGTGAAGTTGACTATTGTGGTTTTGTGAGGGTTTACTGTTAGTTCCTCCTGTCTGCACCATTCACCGACAATGTTTAGAGCTGTTTGTGTGCGCTACGATATTGTACCTACGAACTGGCCTCTTACGACGATCGCCAGATCATCGGCATACCCTAGGCAGTAGAAGTCTGCAGATATTAGCTTTTTTATGAGTTCTTCCACTAGGACTGACCAGAGGAGGGGTGATGGTAATCCTCCCTGGGGGCAGTCTCCGCCTGCTTGTTATTATAAAATATAGTATTTTATTAAAAAATTGGAAAAACTTTTCTTGTGTTATCAGTAATTTCTGTTATTGAGCAAGCTGCCATTGAATTATTTCGTATATTTTAAGTTTAAAAAGAATTTTTTATTGTAAAACGAAATGTAATACGCATATGCTATGATTACTCTTATCATGCCTCCATTGTCGTGTAATCAGAACATAATGAGTCTAGGAATGACTATATTATAATTACTACACTCCCTGACCAAATATTTGAACAGACAGAGACGGTAGGAGACTTCTCTTTAAACACCAAATGGAAAAATGTATCTTAGGAACATATTTATTACTAAAATATTTCTCTATGCCAACATTAAAATATCTGGTATCAACTAGTTTAAATTTTAGTCAATCCTCGTATAAATAATAAAATGACTGTGCAAATCGTTAATTCTTTGGGAGGGTCATTGCAATCATCTGTTACCAGTAAAAGTTATAACATCGTTCTACTTAATACAGGTGCTTTATAAAAAGATTATATAATACATACATTAAAAAAAAACTTAAAATTTTAGATATAAAATTCAAAGAAATTGCCTAATAAAATCGATGTCATTAGTATTGCGCAATATTTGAAATAAACGACGAAAATAAATGTTTTAGAATAATAATTGTTCTACAAACTAACTACAAAAAAATAGAATAATTGTCCAATTTTAAAAATTGATAACAATGTAATGTTTTAATAGCTATTTTATTTTTTGCAGGTCCGTAAATAAAATACAAGAATATGTTATTAATTCCGGTATTTTCGATATTTCTTTTCACATACACCACATTCCATGGAGCTGAAGCCTATAATGTTGGTGTCGGAAGGGCTGACTGTACAGGACCATCTGCAGAAATCACTTTTGTAAGTTAAATTAATTTCTAACTCTCCTAAATAAATCTGTAATCTGAATAAAACATTACGATATCCATTTGATAATACGCACTGTGAATTTTCGGAAAATTGGTGTTACAAAGACGATTTTAATAAAACAAAATATTCTTAAACGTTTTTATTTATTTATTTACAGATGGGTTATGCAAAAGCTAATCAAAAAGGATGTGGACTCCATTTGAGGCAGTTTGCAAGAGCATTTATTTTCAAAGATACTAATTCTAGGGTGGCGTTCGTTACAGTTGATGCCTGCATGATGAACCATCCTATACGACAAGCTGTAAGTAACTCTAATTTTTATTTTAAAAGAAAACGAACATAACCAAGAGAAAATCTTGACGATTCATGAGTTATGAATCACGTATCACCAAGATAGGTTACATCTTTATTCACAATAACGTGTGTATATTAAGTTAGGTTGAAAATGAGTGATGAAGTCAATTCTAGAATAGAAATAAAATTATATCCGTTCAGTAGAATTATTTGGCCTACATATTCATCAAAATAGTATATTATGCAACGATCATGTAATGATGGTTATTAATACACGAGCATTAACCGGGATACGAAACGAGCCAAAGGCGAGTTTCGTATGGTTTATGCGAGTGTATTAATAACCATTACATGAGAGTTGCATACGCTATTTTTTCTACACCCGATAAATAATCAAGAACTATAAATATTATATTCATATTGGTATTGAACACAATAACAATAATTACTCGTGTATTTCTATAAACAATTCTACAAAATTGTAATTAATGGTATTACTTCGGGTATTGGTATTTCTCTAGATTTTTGCGGCAAAATATTTTGTACTGTATTTTCTGCTTTCTCCGATATGTGTGGAGGAGTCTTCTATATCGCTGATATCAGACATTTTAATATTATAATTAACGAAGTTTAGTTATCTACCAAAATTTAATACGTTTTGACAACTAAAACAAATACATAGGAACCTAGGACAAACGTCAAACAGCATGCTTGATTGAAAAATTGTAGGTTTCTATTGATTAAAAATCTGTATCGTAATGAAAAATCTGTATCGTAATGAAAAATCTGTATCGTAGTGAAAAATCTGTATCGTAATGAAAAATCTGTATCATAATGGGTATCATTATGAAACGGATTATGGGCATATAAGTGCATTATTATAATACGGGTGTAGAAAAAATAGATAATATACATGTTGATATAGAAAAATATAATGTTTTGTTTTAGGTTCTAGATAAATTAAAACAATCGTATAAAAATACATATACGTTAGATAATTTAATTCTTAGTGGTACCCATACGCACGGTGCTCCAGGAGGTTTTCTTAAAGACGTTATGTTAGATGTACCCAATTTCGGATTTGTCAGGGAAACTTTTGATGCTCTGGTAGATGGGATAGTTCGAGTAAGTATATTTAATTACTTTAATTGAATTGTTATTATTTGGTAGGTTTTGTTACTGCTTACCAACACTAATTAAGGAAAATAATGATAATTAGAACATACAAAAATATACAGGGTTGGCCAAACCTCTGTCGTAGTTCTATAACTCCTATTATGCAAATCTTAACGATTTATTCGAAGTATACCTGTCAATGGTGGTCAAAACCAAATATCCCAAAATTATTTTCTTGTGTACAGGGTGGCCCAATAGTAAATTAGACAAATCACTTATTTTTTTTTAAATGGAATGACCCAACTTTTTTTACAATTTTAGGTACTTTATGGTCACTAGTACATACCCACAAAATATTGTTTCTAACATCCCACCCCTTTCGCAGAAAAAAAAATTACCAAAAAATATTACATTTTCAGACGCCTATTAAAATATGCAGTGTCTCTCGAATTTGACGTTAGAATTTAAAAAACTACAAATGTATGAAGCCAATAGACCAAAGATTTTTTTAGACCAAATTTTAATTTTTTATTTTGTACAGGGTGGTCACAAATTAATTTCAATTTCCAAAAATTTCTAGGACATTTTTTTCAAATTTTTCAAATAGAACACCCTGTATTACTATTCATCGATGAAACGAGAATTTTATACCCTTCGACTTCCCCATGTACTTTCCTATACCTATCTGTCGTCGTTTAAAAGTAAATTCCAAAAAGACATTGATCTATCAAAAATCCAATTTCTACCAGTGGTTTTATTGAAAGTGAACATTCAATCAAGTAGGCTGGGTCTTAATGAAGTGTCAGATTATTTATTAATGAAGTGTCAAGTTATTTTTACTGATCGCGATAATTCTTCTATTAATAATGAATTTTACGAAAAACGAATTAATTGACATGGTCTATGTTTTGGGAGAATCCGACAGAAATTGTTTATTGGCAAAAATAATTTAACATCAACGATATCCCGATAGACGCATCCCTGATCAAAAAAGTTTTGAAAAGTTACATGAAAGATTTACCGAAACAGGAAATGTTGCTTATAAAAAACCAATAATTGACAAACGTGCTACTGATAATGATAACCAATTGTCTGTAATTTTGACAGCGATAGAAGATCCTCATGTAAGTCAAAAAAAGATTGCCGAAGTAGTAGGTATAAGTAGAACATCCGTTAGAAGGATTTTAAAACAGCATCAATATCATCCTTATAAAATACAATTGCAGCAAGAGCTGAGAGACACCGATTTTGATAATAGAATGGTGTTTTGTAACTGGGCACAAACTAAACGGCAACAAAATCCATTTTTTTTTTATAGAGTGCTGTTTTCTGATGAATCTACATTCCACAAGAACGGATTCGTTAATAGACATAATTTCCACTATTATTCCACGGAAAATCCTAACATCATCAGAACACATAGCCAAGAAAGATGGAGTGTAAATGTTTGGGGAGGTATAATTGGGGATCATGTTATTGGGCCGTATTTTTTTGAAGGCAACTTAAATGGTCTGATGTATTTAGATTTTTTAGCAAATCATCTTCCTACTTTACTTGAAAATATTTCCCTTGCTGTAAGACTAACAATGTGGTACCAACATGATGGGGCAGCAGCGCATTTTTTACGCGAAGTGGCAGATTAATTAGATGAAAAGTTTCCAAATAGATGGATTGGTAGAAATGGTCCAAAAAAATGGCCAGCTCGATCACCTGACTTAACAAAACCCGATTATTTTTTGTGGGGTTATATTAAAAATCTAGTCTATCTTACGCCACCTGCAACACCAGAAAATATGAAAGAAAGGATAGTGCAAGCTTTCCATTCCATTACACCTGATATGCTTAGAAACGTTTCTCGATCATTCGCCCAACGAATAAATGTATGCATTAGAGAAAATAGCAGACATTTTGAGCATCTTTTATAAAATGTAAATTTATGTTTTAGGATAAATTTCAAATAAATTTTATTATCGTAATTTTCTTCCTTTTGAATTTATTTTATAACGGCGACAGATAGGTATAGGAAAGTACATAGGGAAGTGGAAGGGTATGAAATTCTCCTTAAGTTGATGAATAGAAATACAGGGTAATACATTTGAAAAATTTTAAAAAATTTCCCTCGAAATTTTTGGAAAGTGAAATTAATTTGTGACCCTGTACAAAATAAAAAATTCAAACTTGGTCCAAAAAAATCCTTGGTCTATTGGCTTTATACAATCGTAGTTTTTTAAATTCTAACATCAAATTCGAGAGAGCACTGCATATTTTAATAGGCGTCTGAAAATGTAATATTTTTTGGTAATTTTTTTTTCTGCGAAAGGGGTGGGATGTTAGAAACAATATTTTGTGGGTATGTACTAGTGACCATAGAGTACCTAAAATTGCAGAAAAAGTTGGATCATTCCATTTAAAAAAAATTAAGTGATTTGCCTAATTTACTATTGGGCCACAAGAAAATAATTTTGGGATATTTGATATTGGCCACTATTGACAGGTATACATCAAATAAATCGTTAAGTTTTGCATAGTAGGAGTTACAGAACTACGACAGAGGTTTGGCCAACCCTGCATATTATGTTTATTTCTATGTAACTTAAAATGTATTGATTATTTTTAAAACGGTTAATATATACGGTGGCGGCTTGTCGTGATTTAAAATGAGTATTCAATTTTTCCTAATAATTTTATCATTTGTAAGTTCGGTTCAAAACTTTGTACAAGCGCCAATATCACGTTTTTTTTTTATTTCGATTTGTAATAAGTGTATTATTATCATCATCAATCTCATACTGTTTTCAAGCACAACAACTATTAATAAATAAATGAATATCTTAGTTATAGTAATATTTGTTCTTGTTTTTAATGAGTTGAAAACCAACAATATTTGTTATAGTCAGCTGACTTTTCTTCATATTTTGAGAATATTTTTACGTAGAAAGATTGACAGTGTGTAAAAAATATTATTATATAAAACTTTACCTATCGTTTTTTAGTTTTTATTACAAATTTATTCATTTTCACAATTTGTCACACATGTCAAATAAAATAATGTTACGTTTGTTTATTTTAAAGAACAGTTTATTTGTTAATAATTTTTTTAAACACTTATTGGGGTTTAATTATGTATAATAATCGGACAAGTTGAGCCTCAAAGGCCAAATTAGACAGAGAGGGACTTGGAAGATTAGGGCATGACTGAATAATGAGACAACTTGCATTATATTGCCCCCTCCTTAAGAGATAAGTTTCTCCTGGAACTTTTACGAAACTAAAACGAAATGGTTGTATCTGCAACTGAACCCTTTTACAGTTTACAGTTGCATAGAAGTAATAACAAGGAACTGTCTTTGCTGTAACCTGGACACTAAGCGAATGGCTGCAGAGCAGTATTTGGACTCCGGCATCTTGAAAGATTATTTTCACCATGGTTCCAATGATCCTCCAATCCAGCTGATTTCCTTCTATCTTTGGCATGGCTAGTTTCTGTACATTAGACTCCAGTACGTGTTACCTTAAACTAAGTAATGCTTCCCATACATCAGAATAAGTGGATTGATCTCGGAAGGAGTTCTTTGTTATCAAATAGGAAAGATAACGTGACCCGCCTTGAAGTTTCAAGGCTTTTCCAGGGGCTGGTAACTGACATTGAAGTTCTAGCAGTCGACCAAACTTCTTACGGAAAACATATGCCAGTCCTCGCGCGTCTTTGATGCTAGCGGAAGTACTATGGACCAGCGAGTAGTCTTTTGGAAGCGAAAGCAGATCTTGTTGTTACTCGGTCGTAACACCACTTTTTGGGTTATGGAACCAGACTTTTTTGCCTTTATTAAAACATCCCTCTGTATCTTGGGTATTGTACCGTTTCTTCATCCTGTCGCTGGCGATTTGAAGATGCGAGCGGACTAATTTATGCATATCGTCCATTCTTCTTCGTAACTGGATCACATAATCTTTACCAGCTACATCTACTCCAGGTCGGTATCCAAACTCAAGGTCACACTGTAGTCTCATCTCACGCCCAAACAGGACCTTTGCTGGTGTTTGGCCTGTTGATTTATTGACAGCGGATCTATAAACCATTTCAAAAAGCGAAAGATACTGATCCCAATCTCGTTGACGGCTTGAAACCACTTTTGACAGTTATTTGCCAATGTTCTTATTAATTCGCTTTACCATTCCATCTGACTGTGTGTGCAATGCCGTAGTTCTGGTTTTCTTCATGGCCAGTCTGTCACAGATTCCACGGAAGAGTTGGCTTTCAAAATTTCTGCCTTGGTCACTCTGGAACTCCAAGGACACTTCAAATCGACAGATAAACTCTTTTATTAACACATCTGCAACAGTTGCGGGCTCTTGATTTGGAATGGTATAGACTTCCACCCACTTTGTAAAATAATCCATAACCACCAAAATGTATTTATTACCATCCTCGGTCATGGAAAATGGTCCAGCAATATCTAAGGCAATCCTCTAAAATGGGCTACCAACGTTGTATTGCTTCGTGGGAGCCTTCCTTTTTCGTTGAGATCTATTACTCATAGCACAGGTGGTATATTTCTTATACCATTCTTTTACATCATCGGAACTGTTCATCCAGTAAAACCTTTCCCGAACTGTCTAAAGGGTTTTCCTAATATTGAGATGTCCTCCTGATGGACTGTCGTGTAAATGATGAAGTACTTCGGCTACTCTAGTCCTTAAAATGAACTCTCTTTTGTTCTCGGAACCATCATCATTTTTAAGTACTTGCTTTAATAAGCCATCTTTCAGTATAAAAAAGTCCCACTAAACTAAATATGACTTAAGTACTGGAGAGAAATTAGACACTTCTTGCCAAGTAGGTCGACGATTCTCCTCCTTCCATTGTCGCATCTTCTATAGAACGGTATCATTCTCTTATTCTTCCCTAATTTTAGCAGGGGCCCGTCATTGCTAATAACTGACGTTCTTAGTACTGTAACTTCTTTAGCAGATGTGGCCAACCCCTTTCCAATCAGTGTTCCTTGACCAACACCTTAATTGCGCTTCGAAGGTTCCGCCATGACAGGCGTTGCTTTCTCCACAGTTCCTTGCAACCGCGTTACTTTTATGGTTTCATTTCTTTTAGGCAACACCGTTTCTTCATGTACAGCCACCAGCATGGTTTTTCGATTCGTAGTATTCTTTGGGCGTTTGCACGAACTACTTACATTTACCATTTCACCGTAATTCCAGCTCCTAATAGTCTTCGCTTGCTTCTCAATAAGGCTTTTTATCATGTGAAAGAAGTAATCCAATTTATTTCCCTGTTCTTCTGCTCTTACAGTCCTTACTTCACTGTATCTACCAGAAGCCAGCGTAGCCACTTCATATTCAAGAGCAGCGGACAAGACATCGACCAATGTTTTGTGACGTGCTACACGAAGTGTTATTTGCATTTCATGGTCACGAAGTCCATCTACAAATGCTTGAACAGCTAAACATTCAATCATGTATTTCGAAGCTGATGGGTAGGCAAATCGCAATATATAATTCGAATTCTTGAAGGATCTCGTCACGTTTCTGTGCGATTCTTTAACTGTAATCGTTACACCTGCTATTATTATTATTTGCCGTGGCGCTCCAGGATGACTTAAAGATGATTGATGGTGCCATTTGACTTACAGGTGAGGAAAACGGAAAACCTCACCCACCATCATCGAAAACAGTAACGCATGGCGATTTTTTTTTAATAATCTGGATATCATATCAACAGAAATTAAATTTCTCCTAATACGGCATCCATCAAATCCTATAGAGAACCATGCAAATTAATTCACATGGTTTTCCGTAAGATTCAAAAACGTTTCTCATTTTACCAGAAAATTGGCTCGCAAATGAATGCCGTGCCGTAGACACCTTTCTTTCTAAGGAAGAAATGTCAGACGAAACTTTATTTTCTAAGGAAGTAATATCACATTTTATAGAAGAAACCTCTGAAAAAATTTTATTCTCTTAAGAAGTGATGTCAGAAGAAACTTAAGTTTCTAAGGAGGAAATATCACTTTTTATAGAAGAAACATCAGCAGTAATTTCAGTTTTTATAGAAGACATATCAGACGAAACTTTGGTTTCTAAGGAAGTAATCTCAGAAGAAATTATAGAAGATGCATCATTCGAAAATAGAAAGGTTTCTGGATCCAAACCTTCACTTTCCGTTGCTTCTTTAAGCCTTTTTGTCAGCTCTGCCTTCTTCCCTGTCGTGTCCAGATCACGATCTTCTAATTCTCGACGCAATTCATCAATTTTTAAATCACACAAGTTTTTTTAGTCATTTTTGTCCACTATTTATTTACAGTTCTACTTCTATCACCAATGTAACATTTATGTAATTTATTTATAATTTATTTATTTAAAACACACTATTTATAATGTATTTATGAGGTACAAATTAATTTATGTAATACTTAAGCAATATTATAACACACAATTCTAATTTGTTTATTACAATTTATCTTTTCTCTCCAACACTTAAATTCAATCTGCCATTCGTCGACAACTCGCGCTATTTGTATAAAGCCAACTCTGTACTAGAACTCTCTAGGCTTTCCAGAACGATCGAAAACTGCATTCCTATGTCTCATACGCCGCACCGCGATCATTCCGACGGTTTCAAGAAGCGGTGCGTTTGTCTCTATATTGCCAGCGCTAGATTTCATTCCACGGGCAAAGAGCACAAAGCACATTACTTAGGGTTTAGCAACGTTGATTTAATTCTCCGTAAACGCAATATTTTTTTGTTTAAAAAAATATAAAATTTCAACAAATACGATTATTGTTGTTTATTAATTTTAAATACATTTTATCTATATCATCGATGACTCCTTCAGTTAAATTTTCCGCTATTTATGCTGTACTATTTTGATAACTGTTCAGAAAAAAATTGCAAGTTGGTAAATAGGTACCATTTTTATTAATAAAAAGTTCTTGTTCAAGGTTTATCATTTTGTTATTTGATGTATTCAAACTTCAAACTTCTGTTGTCAACAAACTTCCCTGACTCGGTCATCACAGATGTGGCGGACTGGACAGAGGAAGAATACAATCTGTTTATGATTGGCAAACTGCCAAACACATTGTAGACGATAAAAAAATTAGATGGGCAATATCCAGCTTCTCTCCATTAAAATCGCCAGGACCTGACGGTATCTATCCAGCCCTACTTCAGTGGGGTCTGGAAGAACTCACATCGTACCTGGTGGGTATATTCAGATCCTCGTTGGCTCTGAGGTAAAATAGAGAGAGGTAAAAGTGGTATTTATACCTAAACCTGAAAGGATGGATTACACTGTCCCAAAAACATACCGACCAATTAGTCTAAAATAGTTTTCCATGAAGGCATTGGAAAGGCTAAGGTACATAAGGGATGCGGTGATTACAACACCACTACACCCATATTAACATGAATACATCCCAGGCAGATCTAGTGATGCAGTCCTTCATCTAGTTACTGGTCGGATAGAAAGATCCCTTGGGTGTTTTCATAGACATAGAAGGTGATTTTGATAAAGCCACCTTCTCAAAGATAATACACTCACTAACCAACAGGAATGTTTCACAAATGGTTGTGTGTGGATACATAACATGCTCTCAAAGCGAGCAGTAAACATAAGTGTAGAAGATGTGAATATAAGAGGCTTGTTTGCGAGGGAATGTCCACAGGGAGGGATACTATCACCTCTACTGTGGAATATGGTCCTCGACACCCTCATCAGCCACCTCAATAATTACAGTCACTACACAAGAGCATATGCAGATGACCTGGTCATTCTGCAAACAGGGAATTTTGAGAACATACTCTGCGAAAGAATGCAAGTAGCTCTAAAAATTATCGAACAGTGGTGCAAGGACCATTCACTGTCTATCAATTCCAAGAAGACAGAAATGGTCCTTTTCACAAGGAAAAGGATGACAATGGAATTAAAATCTACAGAGCTCCTAAACACAAAACAAAACTTTGCAACAGGGATAAAGTACCTAGGTCTCACCTTTGACAGCAAGTTAACATGGAACTCGCATTTAGAAAACAGTTAAAAGAGCATACATTGCTTATGAACAATGCCGCCGAACCGTGGGGTGCATCTGGGGTTTCTCCCCCAGAGTCGTCGCATGGACTTATACGGTTATCATAAGACCTATGCTAACATACGGTGCAGTTGTCTGGGCACCGAAAACTCAAAAATTAACAGCTCTCCGTAAACTAGAACAAATTCAAAAAACAGGAGCCATGAAAACAACACCGACCAGAGCGATTTTTTAGTCTCACTCCCCTTGATATTTACATCAAAGAAGTTGCTCTGACGACAATGACATGCCCCCGCACGGTTGGAATAGAACCTGATGTAGGATCTGGTGAGGCGAGCCTTTGCTTTTGGCAGGAGGCGCTTGATACGATCCCACTGTTTCAAGCGAACATGGACTCCATCTCACCGAAATATATCTTCCGCAAGCCATATAAAGTTATAATAGAACAAATAGAAAAGCCGGAAATGGCAAGTACGATTCATATCTACACCGACGGTTCTAAAACAAAACAAGGCTCAGAATGTAAAATATACTCCAGATTCTTAAATCTAAACATAAAATGGGCTCTGAGTTATAGTGCCAGTGTAGTTCAGACAGAGCTAACGGGGATTCTCATAGCGGCAAAAGAAATAACCAGAAACAATATCACTGGAAGGAACATGCTGATCTATACAGATAGCAGACAAGCACTACTCACCCTGAACAGACCACGAATTTACTCAGAATTAGTACTAGAATGTCACGAAGCTTTGGCCAAAGTATCCATCAACAATGTGGTCACTTTAAGATGGATCAAAAGGTCACGCCACATCGAAAGGTAACCGTCTTGCTGATTCACTAGCCAAGAAAGCAGCCAACCAAATACTTTTTGGACCTGGCCCTTCTATTGGCCTGACAAAATCGGTAGTGACATACCTAATTAAAGAACATTCCCTTGTGAAATTCAAGGAAAGATGGGATGAAACAAGAAAGTGCAAAGTTGCCAGGGAGCTCTTAAGTTATCCTGACAACACTGCAGCAAACAAAATACTTGACTATGACTAGACAGAATCTGCGCCAGTCACAGGCATTCTGACTGGTCATTGCCAAATACAAAAGCATATCCATATCATGGGGCTGTCAGAATCAGCACTCTGCAGAGGGTGCGAAGAAGAAGATGAGACCATCGAGCATATCCTTTACGATTGCTCGACGCTCTCATTTATTAGAAGATTTGTGTTCGGCGAGTATCGGCTAACACCGGCCGATATAAGAGAAGCACCTCTTCACGATGTTGTTAACTACATTAAATCTGTAGGCTGGCTCACAAGCTAGGAGGTGCCTATCATCTCAGGAGGATGCACAATAGGCCTATTGAGGCCGTAGGGGTAACCCACCTTCCACGCGTTACAGATTGGTATATTTAAAAAATAAACTAATGAGACACATTATTGTATTCTAATATTTTGTATTCCTGTAATATTACTTTACCATCTTCCTATAAAAGTGTCACACAAGTGTGAACACAATTAACGATAATAAAGAGCCTCTATATGAGTGCATATAATAAAAATAATATGTTTGTGATCTTAGGCGATTAAGAGAGCTGACGAAAACATGGTGGAAGCGAGCATTTTTGACAATTCCGGTGAACTTCTAAATTCAAATATTAACAGAAGTCCAGCTTCTTATCAATATAACCCCGAAGAAGAAAAAAAATTGTAAGTCAAAATACATATGTTTTTAGTTTTACATTTTACATTTATTTTTTCATCATTAAATAGTCACTTTCGAAAATTTATCATGTTTTTAAAAACAATTTTAAAGAAATAAAAAAATTGCTCAATTTCGGGCGCCAAAAATATGTAACTTGCTTTTTATTAAATTTATCTGTTTATTTTTTTTATGTGTTTATGTGTATCATCTTAAGAATTTTTTTTACTACAGACTCATTTTCGGGAATTATTACATTTTCAAAAATCGCGTGTTTTGTTAAGGCAATAAAATTTTCATTATTAGTTAAAATGTTATTTTTAGTGCTTTTATTTTGTCTATATTATTTTGGAGTTAAAATATTTGCAGTCAATTTTATAAACAACCAATTTTGATTAACATTTTTTTACTTGCTTATTTTTCTTTTAGGTACAAATATGACGTCGACAAAGATTTGGTGCAATTAAAAATAGTTCGCAATTCTGATAAAAGCGTAATTGGTGCAATTAACTGGTTCGCAGTGCATCCAACTAGTATGCAAAATAGTAATTGCCATTTGACATCTGATAATGTTGGATACGCTTCCATCCTTTTAGAATCGAGTGTAAATAAAGGAGAACTACCAGGAAAAGTAAGTTTATAATGTAAAATATTATATTATACTTATAAAAAAATGAAGGTATTCAAACATATTAAAACTATATTTGTGCTAAAGTAGTACTCACATTTTGAAAATAATATTAACACGTTATTCGACAAAACAATTGTTATTTTTAAATAATTCTGAGATTCAAATATGAGAGTTTGTAAAAGAAGGTATCTATTGGACAAATTTCCATCTAGTTTGTGGAGTACTTTTGGCTAACAGAATGTAACTGCTAATAAACAACAAGAATAGGCACGTTGATGTTTTGGGTCATATACGCTTCAAACGCCCAATTTATGAAGCTTTATTAAGTATGTTTGGTATATTAATGTTTTTATGATATTGCAATTAAAATGAGTATAATGATCCTGCAGGTCCAAACAAATTTTTGTGGCGTTAACGTGTTAAATTAATTAACTGAAAAAATTACAAAAACTTGTGCTATACTTTATAACAATTTTAGGGTGGATTTGTTGGAGCCTTTGCGTCAACAAATTTAGGGGATACTTCACCTAATACCAAAGGTCCTAAATGCATTAATACAGGTAAAGATTGTGATCCTATTCACAGTACATGCGATGGTGAGAACAAATGGTGTATTGGATCTGGTCCAGGAAAAGATATGTTTGAAAGTACTGAGATTATTGCTACCAATATGTTCAAAAAAGCAAAGGTAAGCAGTTATTAAACAAATCAGCATTTATATCCATATTTTTTTTTTAAATGTTTGAAAACTGTAAACCGTTTGGTACAATATCTGCTTTTTATTGCACTATAACCTTTCTTAACTCAAATTTTAGTTAAATAAAAGAACCTCAGTATTTAACTCAATAAAATTGTTGCCATAATCAAGTCTCTGTAACCGTTAATAAATTTTAATTCTATTTAGGTATTTTATAATTAATTTTGTTTCATTGTTTCGCTTTATGTTAGTTTAAGATCTAGATTTATGCCTAAACTTGTAAAAAGTAGTCATAAAGGATATTGCAAACATTTTTATTTAAAAAACTATTTACTTTCGGTAATAGTTACTAATTCATTTTAGGAACTTCTGGATGACTCTAAAGCAACCGAAGTTACTGGAGATATAAAGTACGTTCACAGATTCGTTGATATGCCTAATGAAAAAGCTACAGCAACAATAAATGGGTCAGAAGCCGAGGTATGTGCCAAAAATACAGGTTCTGAACATGCTAATGCAAAAAAATTAAAATCGCTGAGTACTTGAATACTAATAAAAATTGTTTATGAGAGAAGAATGAACATTTTTAAACATAAACGCCTCGAAATTTACCTAAATGTTTCTTCGACATCAAAATGTTCTTCTAGATCTATTGTGCCACATGACTTACTTATAGTTCACTGTACAAGCCACATCTTTTGATTTCTAGAGGTAACTTTATTCAAATAGTGGAACAGTTTTGATTTTGTAGAGGCACCAAATCAGGAGATCCTGGTCGATGCAGTCACTGTTGAACATTCCTGAATAATTGTAACTTTTCTTGTTCTTCTTCTTCCCTGCGTTTGGTATCTTGGTCTTCATTGAAGAATAGTCTTTGTCCGATTATTCCGAATTCTAGCAGTGTATCTACCCTCTTTTATTTTGCAATACAACCTAGTTAATCTACTTTGGCATTTCTTCTTAGTTTACATGGTTACTAAGACTAACTCCAAGTATCTTTATGTTACTCTTAACTGTCTTGTAGATGTTTAAGAAAGGGCTAGGCTTTCTGCGCTATATGTTAAAAAAGGTTATCAATTTGAAGCTTATTGGGAAATTTTAAATATAACTCCTAATTTTTTATGTGATTCCCATTCCAGAGTAATTATTCACAATTATTTACATATCTAACTCACCACTTAACCAAATGTATCAACCAACATTTAACTCCCTTAGAACCTTGTTATCACTTCAGTTTATGTATTTACTTCCTAGATATGGTACAATTTTTGTTAAATATTAAGTTTTTGACTAAAATCTAACCTCAATTACGTAAATGTGCACGGCTGGAAATTTGGCCCACCACAACTTTATGTTGGGCCATATTTCTGACCAATCTAAATTCTTCTTAAAATTACTACTTTTATTTATTTCGACGGAGCATGGGGAAGCCTTGTAGAGGAATACTAGGAAACTAAACATAAAATATGATGACCGAGGATTTAGAACTCCTTAAGCAAGGTAAAAGTCAAAGATATATCGATCAAAACTGCAGTATTCCTAGGGACCTTAAGAAATCATCTGAAAACTGGCAGTTCAAAAAAAAGTTTGGCAGGAATTGCACGAATTGCACGAATCGTAAGAATATCTCGTATTGGAGTGTCATTGACTCCAAAATATGTGCGAAGATGTGTACACCAGTTTTGTGTAAGTAATGACATGCCACATAAAATCAACAGTGCCAAAGAAATGGCTGGATTTACATGGTATAAAAGTTTCTTAACGAGAATTCCGAATATTTCCAGAAGAAAAGCACAATCAATGAATACATACAAAAACAACCCGACCATTATTTTGAAAAATAAGGCCGTTTTCCGTTCTTTTGAACATCATTAGGACGTTAAATTGTTAAAATAATGTTAACATAGTTTAGCAAACAGGCCACGACGATGTCTAATATCCAGAATGGATTTAGCGCAACTGGAATGTATCCGTTTAATTCAGAAATAATTCCAGAGACAGACTTTGCACCTTCTACGAGGACCCACAGAATATTTCCAGAGTTAGTTGATGATAAACCAGACTATTCTAATAGTTCTTAAGACTTTTTGTCATTACAATTCTTTAATACAGGATCAATACCTGGTTGCTCAAAACGGACTGATGCTGAAGCGGTCAACAAGCATGAAGCAGTTATTAAACAAAATGCATCCAAGAAGCAGGAAGCAACCATGGAGCAGGATGCAGCTAAAAAACATGGGGCAACCAAGAAGCAGGAAACAGCTAAAAATAAGAGAGAAGCAAAGAAGCAGGAAGCAGCCATGAATCAGAAGCAGTCAAAGAGCAGGAAGCAGCCAAGAAGCACGGAAAAGACAAGGAGACGGAAGTAGCCGTAAACCAGGAAGCAGTCGAGGAGCAACAAGCAGCCAAAAAGCAGGGAGCATCCAAGGAGCAGGAATAAGCCAAGAATCACAAAGCAGTTAAAAAGCAGCGAACAGCGAATAAGCAGGAAACAGCTAAAAAGCCGGGAGCAGTTAAGAAGCAGGAAGCAGCTAGAAGGCAGGGAGCGGCTAGAAAGCAGGGAGCAGCCAAGAAGCAGGAAGCAGCTTCGCAAGAGGGAGCAACCAAGGAGCAGAAAGCAGGAGGCTCTTCAAAATCAAACGATAGAAAAATATAAGTGTTAAATATCACTGTCATTAAGCTTCCTATTAAGCAAGCACACAGATTTTGAAAGTAACATTCGTAAGTGCGCAACTTGTGGCTCATGGGAGTATGAAATATGTTTGGGACTAACTGAGGAAGATACCGAAGAATTACAATGCCCAGATTGCTCACCTTAACCGGAGTTGCAAAGTGGGGGCCATATCTTAGCTTGTATTTTATGTTCCGGTTCATATTTCAGGCAATGTCGGAAATATGGTCCAATTTGGATGTTTTTTTAATTTTGTTCCTATTATACAAAATTATTAAGTTTTTTTAATTTTTATGAGTAAATGTTTATTTATTAATGATCTTTACACATTAAAATAAAAAATATTTCGTTTAAACTGTTTTGTTTTACTTTTATACGCCGTCAAAATCAAAGTCGGCCATATATTACCCGAATGTACCTTATTTGATATGCTCCTAGTAATAGTGCCCTTCGATTCTGGAGTACTACACATTTAGTCAGAATGTGAATAGAGGTTTCGTACTCTTTTCCACAGAATCTGCACTCATTATCTTCTACTACTCTCAGTTTACTAAGGTGTCCTTTGAGTCGCAATGCGAAGCCTGTTCTTGTTCAGGCAAATACAGGCTTCCGATCTTTTCTAGTTATATTCACCCAGATGTATCTTAGCCTGTCTTAGCCCCAAGAGATTGTTCCAATAATCGGTTCTTTTACTGACCAATCGTTATTTAATTTTTCCTACTATTTTGTTACTACTGATACCGCAAGTCCCACAAAGGCTGTTTGAAGCCCTTTCTTGCGAGACTATCTGCAATCTCGTTTACCCAGTTGTGTTCTGGGACTAAAGTGAGAGTAACTGTATTTTTGTCGCCTAATTCATTCCGTCTTCATACCATCTTTGAGCTGATGACGTAAGAGCTCAGCGCTTTGATGGCTGCTTGGCTATCGGGAATGATGTTAATCTCTTGTCTGCTATAGTTTCTCTCGATGTAAAACTGGATACACTTCTCAATGGCGTGAATTTCCACCTGAAAGATGCTTGGGTATTTTCCCAAACTTTCAAAGCATGAAAGGTTAATACTCGTATTTTATGATTAAACGACGGTTTGTGTTATTTATTATCTAAAATAAATAAAAAAATTTACCCATTAGGTTCATGGATGCTTGCCAGGTATGGGTTACGGTTTTGCTGCTGGTACAACAGATGGACCTGGAGAATTCGATTTTGCACAAGGGAACAAAAACACAAGCAACGTTTTCTGGAACCTTGTTCGAGACTTTATTTTTCCTCCTACTCCAGATGACGTAGCTTGTCATGCACCAAAACCCATCCTTATAATGTCTGGAAGGGTATGTATTACTACTATGTAAAAACCAATATAATTTCTAACAGTAATTATTGACATGAGACACGAGATATTCAATTCACAACTATTATTGAAAACACTAAGCAACATCTTGACCATCATGGATAGCTTTCAATAATTTTACCCTCTTCCAATTTTGCTGTATAACTCGTATTATTGTAAACTACATTCTGGTAGATTATCCGCAATATGCAGATACTAAATTTATGAAATTAGTAACTCTTTATAAGATATTCTTGGTATACTATAACAATTTTATTTGAGGATGACTCATCCGCGAATTGTATTGTAGTCGGCCGGCAATAACGTGTGTTTCGCAGATGAGTAATACTCAAATAAAAATTGCTATAGTATAAACAAGGACAGTTCTCAAAATTATCTAGAGTAATAATAAAAATACTTATTTCTATTTATTTACATATTTTTTTAATAGATTAAACTACCCTATGAATGGCAACCGGAGGTAGTTGCAACGCAAATATTCAAAATCGGCAACATTTTTTTAACTGCTGTACCCGGAGAGTTTACTACCATGTCCGGCAGACGTCTTAGGAATGCTGTAAAAGAAGAAGTCATTAAAAATAAAGGACCTGCAAATACACGTGTAATAATTGCAGGACTCAGCAACGTCTATACAAACTACATAGCGACTCCAGAAGAATACGAGGTATGGTTATTTACATTTTTTTTATTCTCCAAACTTTTTCACGACTAAATACCTATCTCAAAAATGTCAATATACTAACTTAGCACTATATTTTAATTGAGATACAATCTGTATCCTACATCCACCGACAACCGATGTCCACCCTTAATTAAACACCCGATAATTCTAATGTCTGGTATATTTTATGCACTATATCGAATATAATAGCTATTTTAGAAACCAATAACGAAATGCCTTATTTTATGTAACGAGTGAATATTTTCGGGACGAGCAGAGCGAGAACCCGCAACATAAACGAGTTATATAAGACGACATTTCGTACCTAATGTGTTACATAAAATATTCTAATTTTGACTAGATTATGTATAAAATTGTGTTTTGATAAGACATTATTGACATCTAGGTAACCAATATTACTTTCTTGTGTTGTTGCATATGTATACTCGTATCTCGATATTATTATCTCGATATTAAATTATAATTTTCATACACAGGTTTACGTACATTGAAAACTTAACTAACGAAGACAAAGATATGGGCTAAGTATGCATCAATAGGAATGATACTGTCACGAATTGCATATAAAAATAATTAGATTTTTATTAAAGATAAAATAAAGTACTTTCCAAAAATATATTTCAACTCAAATTTTATTAAAGCCATTTCCAAAAATATAATTTTATTTCAATCTTTTTAATTTCAATTCAATTCCAATTTGTGTTTAATATAACATTTAAAGTTATTTAAAACAATAACAATCTTTTCGTCTAGTAATTAAATACTTTATTTTATGTCGAAAGTAAACAATGCACTCAATTCGGTTATGCTGATTCTACAATTTCAAAACAATGTTGGGGTCAGCTAGCCAAATTGACAAAACAAAAAATAACAACATTTTTGGCACAACCGAGGCTATAAGTTCTTCGGCTGTGACGAAAATCGGGAGTAGGTAATACTCTGCTGTATTACAGTAATAAAAATAAAAATTAAAAATAAAGTCGTGACATTCCAGCTTGCTGTTAAAATATGTGGTAAGGTTATCTTATAAATCTAATAAAAAATAAAATTAAATAAAAAAGCTATTTCTGAGAAAAGTAACCAGTTGGTTCTTTAAAGTCTTTGTAGTGTATATATTGTATATTTGGGGTGTATTATTATATTGGGGATTTCTGGACAGTTCAGGGGATTTTAGTTTGTATTTATTAAAGATTTGTAGTTTTTTATGCAGTGACTTTTATTCCTTCCCAAGTAGCGTAAAGCCAAGCCAAGCATAATAAATCATAACAAAGGTTCTCCAGTGAGTATTTTCGGGTGGCACAAAGATCTTCCTTAACTGGAAGATCGTTTGGGCGATCCGAAATACGCAGTGGCGTACCCGACGATTAATTGGTTTTTCTAACAAACCACTTAACGTGACAATACAATGTAAGACTAATTGTTTTGAACCACCATCATTTTCTACAGCCTTTGACACAAGTGTAACCACTCCTTTATTTTTACCACACATGTTTTTGCCTTCATCAGTTGTAATATATTTCAAGTTTTTCCATCGAAGATTCTTTTTATTTATGGCATTTTCAGCTCCCTTAAAAATATCTGCCACAGTCGTGCTATGAATACTATCAATATCAAAAAGTTCTTCATACACTTCATAACTTTTATCTACTTCTTGAGCAGTATCTGACATTTCTTTGGCTACTGCAATTACGCATTCTTTGATCATTTCTCCATGCATCGGTGAATGGTTTTCCACGTTTTGCGATTTCAAGAGCCACACGAAAGCTGACACAAGTTGCAGTCTCTTGTTCAAAATTGAATTTCATAAACAAAGATTGCTGCAATTTCAATCCGCGCTTCACAGCTTCAAATTTTTCTGTCCACATACTTCCTGTATGTTTTGAGTAATTTTGAAGATTTTTCGTTTTATAATGACGTTCAATGTTATATTCTTTGGTGTACTACTATGGCTTATTACTGAGTACACAATCACGAAATATTGAAAGTTCCATTAATTTTTTAATGTTCTGCATTCGCTCTCTATTTTTCGCTTCTTATCCATGCTAAACACACACAATAACAAGTCAAATAAAAATACTGTTACGTAAGGGTGTTGGTCGGTTCGAAGATGTCTTTTAAACGCGCTTTCACAACAGAGAGTTTCGCTTCCTTCGCGTTCCCTAGACAGACTGACTTGCGGTCGCACTGTTAGCCTTTTAATACTCCAATTACTGCCATCTCGAACCACTGAGATTATTCAAGAATGTTTAATTGTTACTGCGATTTCGAAAGTACTACTAGCGCCAGCTGTTAGCGATAGAGTGACTACCACTACCCATTTCCGCGTTTGACTACCAGATTTCGTCAAGTGTCATGGTCGTAATTACACCATAGTAATTATACAACTAAAGATTTTAGCAAGCGTATGCTTGCTGAGGGCGCATATTGGGCGACTATTCTAGAAATTATAGATAATTGCAGTTAAATTAAAACGGTTTTGGCTCTTGGAACTTACTGGAGTAATCAGTATGGCCCTAAGTCTGGAAAGTTTGAAGACCCTGGTCTACAGATAGGAAATTTGTATACAGAACAAAGATGTCTGGGTTCGAATCCCGACGACGACAGGCTTTTTTTTTTTTTCAAAACTCCAAGTAGGTATTTGTTTTCACCTTTGGGGTTTAGGATTATTCGTAGGGAGACTTTTGAGATTTGTTTCCAAATTTTAAAGTGATTTCAACTTACCTAGTCTTTTTGTTAAAATAACAAAATTTTTACTAATTACGGTAAAATTTGCTTTTAATGCGACATCATCTAAAAAACCAAACCAGGCCTCTCGAAGAAAGCTCGCGTCATGGCCAGAGAGGAAAAATGAGAGGGAAAATGTCTAGTGTAAGGGATGAATTGCCTGGGGTTCTATAACTCACACAATAAAATTAACGCCTTGAAATAGGAGAGCTATTTAATATAAAACACTAAACATAACAACTATATTTAAAGAAAAAGTATTGATAAAAAGGTAAAACTGTTAAATAATACATTGAACGAACACGTGTCGATTCGTGTTAGGTTAGCCCCGCTTCCCTTTTTCCCGCTAGGCCAAAACTCATGCCATGATGTAGAGTTGGTTGCATAATTAGTAGTACGCTACACAAGTTCATTCCTTTGCGAATAGATGACACTAGGTGTATAATTAATTATTTATTATTTTCCAAAAAAATAATATTAAAGAAAGTATAATATGTATAACATATTACATAGCTTGGCTTTCTTTAAACCCACTAATTTTGACGTAGGTAGTCATAATACCGAAACAATCACTTAGTACAAATATACTGTTTTGTTTTCATACTTGGGGATTTATAAATGTATTTCTAACTTTTCATTTAACGCATTTTTTAATTCGTTTTAATTAAAAAAAATATCGTTTACTTTATTTCAGCTTCAAAGGTATGAAGGAGCTTCAACAATCTATGGCCCACATACTTTAACCATTTATTTAAGAATATACAGAGAGCTTGCAGCTGCAATAATAAAGGTAATGTCACTTGTCATGTTTATAAACCGAACTCAAGAGAGTCTGACTAAAATTGAGTTCTTCGAACCTATTAGGTCGGTTCGGGTTCTTCAAAAATACGTTGAGAACTAACGGGTGTTCCAAAAGTTTAAAAAAAAAATTAACGACATAAAAAAAATATTTTAAAAATTTATTTATCCCTCATAATACTAAGTACAAAGTGGTTCCTTAACAATAAATAAAAACTACTACAGCACCGCTAGGGGTCCATTTTCTTCGATATGGCGCAGTTTTTTCCTGACGCGTCTCATTAGGGTTTGACACTCTTCAACATCAAACTCCCTAATTTTTTGGAATAGCCTACGCCGCAGCTGCTGCTCGTTTTGAGCTTCCCAGCCATTTTCATAAACTTTGTTGACAATCTTGCTCAAAATGTCTCTATTGGTCTTGCATGGGGAACGTTCGGGGGGTTGTCCTGCTTAGGCACAAATGGCACATTTTGAGCTTCTAACTATTCGCATGTGGCTCTAGCATAATGAGCCGACGCCAGGTCCGGCCAAAACATGATATTGTCGTTGGCTGATGTTCTCTAATAAAATTTACCAATTTCGGAAGACAATTTTGAATGTAAGTATTTTGATCCACTGCAGGGCCTCTAACACGTCCTACATAGGGCCTCGACAAACCATTTTCCGATAATGCAATCCAGACTAACAGTTTCTCCGCAAACTTGGCCTTTGGTTTGTATTTTACATTTTAGGGGGTATTTTCAATGTTATCTGTATAAAAACCTGAGTTTTCTGGTAGGTCGGCATGCGAAAATGTTAAATATTTTTCATCATCCAGTATAATCTTTCGGTTGTTCACAAAATGACGAAGACGTAACAAGTGGCAACAATAAGGAATCCTTCGAAGTTGGGCCTCGTTATACTTTGGACATTTTGTCCGTTTTCCATAATTTAAGCCCTTTTTTGAAATATATCTAGAAACTGTCTATTTTGATACCTGAAATCGTCGAAAAAGCTTTCGAGTTGACACTCCAATGATATCCTTTGCAAGTTCGACCATCCTGTTCACCCTGACATCGGTAAGCGTTGCCGGTCTGCCACTTTTCGGCAAGTTGAGACAAGGTATTCCTTGTTCGCATTCTTGAATTGTTCGGTAAATGGTTGTTTTAGATATATTTTGATTCCGGAAAATATTAACGATATCTCTTTTTGGCATTCTACCAACAAAGTTATAAATAGATTTTCGAATCTCAATTTTGTACGCCATTATGCCTACAGACAGATAGCAACTGGGCTGTCAACCAAGTAAACAAAACCCAGGACAACGTTTATTACCATGGATAACTAGATAAATTTGATTTAATACTCCGCAGAGCACAGACAAACTTTTTCCCAAAACTTTTGGAACACCCGTTATCAGAAGACTAGTTGACCAGTGGACTGTTTAATAGGCTTAATAGCTGTACGCGACGATTAATTGAAAATTCAACTGTTCCACTGGTTCTCAGGCGGTTTGCATCTAGTTTTAAAGACACCCGAATAAACCTATTATAACTGCTCAAGAGTACTAGGAAGTTGCAGTGATGCACTGAAATTTAGAGACAGACAGTAGCAAATCCGTAAATTTAAAGTACATTAACAAAATTATTAGTGCCTATCTCTAAATTCTCGCGGTATAACCAAGTTGTGATTTTGGTTTTGGTAAGACTAAATAAACAATATATTGAACCTGCTTATTATTTTTTGTAGGGAGAATCAGTAAGTACTGAGAATGATCCAAAACCATTCGTTTTCCCTAAAGATTTACTATCTCTTGTTACTCCTGTGTATTTTGACAGTACTGGTAGTTGGTTTAATAGTTATGGAGACTGCCTCTCTCAACCAAAACAGCAATATAAGATCGGAGAGACAGCTTCTGCATCATTTGTAAGTATTTTTTTTTTAATTTACAGTATAGTACTGGAAAATAGTTACATATTATAACTTTATGATTTTAAAACTATGTGGCATTTTAGATAGCTGGTCATCCCAGAAATAACAATTTACAAGAAAATACATTTTTAGCCATCGAGATGAAGGACGGTGATAATTGGAAAGTGGTTGCTACAGATGCTAATTGGGAAACAAAGTAAGAGCTATGAATAACTCATGTACCCAGTAATCCAATATAGACTCACCCTCATACTGTCTAAACAATACAATATTTTGTTCGCATCATGAATCTGACGGGGATAGGGGCTGGGTAAAATGGCGCACTGGTGCATATTTTAAAATATTTGATAAAAATTACAAGTGTTCAAATTTTAATAATCTATACAGACAGGTTCAATAGGTCTTCTAAATCAAAGGAGTGAATTTATAGAAATACAGATAAACAGGTTAAACAGGCTAAACAAGAACATTTTCTTATAGAATAAAATATTAGCCATACTATTATTTCCTCAAATTTTGATGTTATTCTTTAAATTATATCACAATCAAGCTTAATATGATGTATTGAAAATAGGAACTAGTATACAAAATATTTTTAGTTTCACAGTTGTGTTATTTACTTTTCTAGTCTATTTTGCTCGTTAAATGTATTTCGTTCTTCCCTTTTTTTACTTCGACTTTTATAGCCATAAGCTAAACATACTGCCATTGTAATCACTTAATATTAACACTGTCTTTAATTACCTTTTCGTAAAGAAGTTTAAAATACACAAATGACTACTCTGGCACCAAAAAAATTACGGCCGATCCATATTTAGTCGCAATCCTCCGCACCTGTCTGATATAGAAGTTAAGAGTCTTCTATCTTTCTTAGTAGATGCTATCAGATACCTAGCAATTACTAATGCTAACAAAACTGATAGGCACTAGCAAACACACTCTTACAAATCACATTCAAGAAGACACACAAAGAAGACTTCAACAAAGTTCTATATCCAAATTTTTTACCTTTCTAAACTTACTATTTCTTTCAAAAAGGAGGAAAGCATTGTAGTGACTCAGGCGCACAACATACCGTCCTCCATACCGTATCGTCAAACACTTGTCACCCTTCAGTTAACTTTGCATTACGTGGCAAACATAGCAGAGTAGAAAATATTAAATTAATAGAGATATTTTACAAGTTCACTATTAACGCCGCTCTTATATTGACATCTGAGCATACGCAGATCGTTTAAGTTTTAAAACTGACTTTATTAAAGATAGTGCCAGTCCCTTCTAAGGGCAGCAAATAGTGCCGAGTTTATAGCTTTTAGGTGCGCTCACCAACATTCGTATCAAATTCGAAATTTTCTAATATTATATATATTTAATATTACCATCATCTAGATCACCTAAACTGGCCATTTATTACACCTTTTCCATATTATGTACTATTATAGACAACAACAAAGATGAACTATAATTTAAAGTTTTTAAATTGAGGTGAGAAATAAGTATAAGGACAAGGATTCTAATGTCTAAACTTCAGGTTTGTAATATAGTCTAGTTAACAAGTGCTTTTTGAGTTAAACAATTTTCTCCGCCTCCGAAAAATATGAACGAGATGTCATTCGATTCGGAATAGCGTGTAGATGAAAAAAAATCAAGAGCCGCTTGCAAAAATTGTGAAAGTTATAAACAATTAACTGAACAAAAAATTGGGTTTGTTTTTTTAAAAATATCTTAAAAACTATTTGACATTTTACAAATTTGAGAAAATATTCAAAAAGAGGAGGAAATTTCCAAAAAAAAAGTTTCATCACATGAAACTGTAGGACCAATATTTTTAATTTTCCCAAAGGGTTGAAAATACGGCCGAAAACGGAGACTCTGGTTCGCGCAAGTTCGGCCCACTGTGAACTTTTAATGAATAAATATTTTTTAAACATATTAAATATGAAAATTACGAATTGAAATTCAAGCATTTACTGGATAGTTAAATGAACAATAATCCGCTGTCAAAAAATTTTTATCGCGATTTTTCTATTAATAATGCATTAGTTAACAATATTTTCCTACTTGAACATTAACATTGCAAGTGCGATAATTGTTAAATAAAAAATCTGAAATTTTTTTCTTTTTTGGAGCAATGTTGGAACGGTCTCATAAGAGATTCTCGTTGGAAAAATTAAAAAAATTGTTATTTTTCACTTTTTTATTAACAATTTACTTAGGTTAATAATTAATAATTAATTAATTGAAAAAAAATATATTTTTTATATTAGGTACTATTGATTCGTTTTTTTATCTTTAGAAGACACATAAAAATGTTTTTTTTTTGAAACCTAATCTTTGATTTAATTATGATTTTAAAAAAATCGTTCCTTAAAAAAATTTTTCATTGCTTTTTTTTTCTCTCTCTCCTGGGCTCGTCTGACTATGTGTCTCCGAATAACACTGAAGCCTATTGGCTTATTGTGTTTTACCCCATGTTAGTTCATAGCACCCACTCTATCACCTTTGTACCTTGTACAAGTTTGTACAGATCCTTGGGTGAGTGGGTTCTATACGTTGTTAGATCAACCTGGGGTTGTCCAAAAAGAGCCTGTCTTTTGCGATCTAGAGCTTCGCATTCGCACAGTATGTGTTTGGCCGTTTCTGGTTTCTTGTGACATAGTCGGCACATGAGTTCCCCATTGTACATGCCAATTTTGTTCAAGTGTCCCTTTACTGGGGCGTGCCCAGTCATGAACCCTGTTATCACTTTCAACTGGTTCCTATTCATTAAGAGTAGTTCTCCAGTTCTTTTGGAACATGGTCTGCCTATGAAGGCTTTTCCATGTGCCTGTTTTGGGGTGCTTCCCCAATAGTTGATATGTTGTCCCCGAATCCAGTCATTTATAAAACCCCGGACTGTACTTTTTGGTACTCCTGGGTTTGTGTCTGGTTCCGGTGTTTCTTCTGACCCTCTTTTTTCAAGTTCGTCAGCCTTTTCGTTGCCTTCGATCCCTTTGTTATCTGGCACCCAAAATAGTTTTACTTTATTTCGGTCTGCCAGTGTTCTTAGTTCTTCGATGCATTCCCATACCAGCCTCGACGTAACTTTCTGACTCGATATGGCCTGAAGTGCCGCTTGGCTGTCTGACATTATTTGAATATGCTGATTTTCGACAGCTCTTTCATTGTTCGTTTTTGCACATTGCAAAATTGCGTATACCTTGGCCTGAAATGCCGAGGAATGTATTCCTATACCATAGCTATGGTTAGTATCAGGGTTTTTGGAGAATACTCCTGCCGCAGTGCCTTCCGCAGTCTTAGACCCGTCTATATACCAGGTTTGTTCCCGTCATTGGGCATTGGGCTCCCTTATGGTGATCTCCGCTCTTTCCTGTATTAAAACCTCAAAAGGAGTATTAAAAGAGTACCTCTTGGTTATGTGGTCTGATCTCATGTCTAGCACGTCTCCTGTCACTAACCTTGAGATACTCATGTGACCTGACCTAATGTCAAGATTTCCCAGTGTATTCCCTAATCTGTAAGCACCTAATCTTGCCTCCCCTTGTATCACATAGTGAAGAGGTGGGAGTCCTATTAGTGCTTCCATTGCAGCAGTGGGGGTTGTTTTCATTGCCCCCGTTATTCCGAGGCAGGCAAGTTTTTGTATCTTGCTTAGCCTCGTTATTGCTTTCCTTTGCTGTGTCTTTGGCCACCACACCAAAGCTGCGTATGTTATTATGGGTCTCACCACCATGTTATAAAGCCAGTATACCATGTCTGGTTTTAACCCCCATTTTTTTTTCTAAAGGATCGCCTTGCCATCATTAATGAGGTTTCCGCTCTCCTTGTGGTTCTTTCTAGATGCTGGTTCCAGGTAAGTCTCGAGTCAATCATAACCCCGAGATATTTTACCTCCCCCTTAAGCTGGATGCTTGCACCTCTTAGGTTTAGAGGCCCTAGTCCCTCCAATTTTCTCCTGCAGGTGAATGCAATTATGTCAGATTTGTTTGGGCTAATGTTTAGTCCTTCCGCCTCTGTCCATTTTGTTACTATATTTCATTCGATCTCTTACTATAGTGTTGTATTTTCCCTGTGCCATGATCACTAGATCATCGGCATATCCCAGGGTTCTATGTCCCTTATCTTTGAGAGCCCTAAGCATCCCGCCCACTACAAGGTTCCACAGGAGTGGAGACAGCACTCCACCCTGTGGACATCCTCTCGCTACCCGTGCCGCTGTTGAGCTTAATTTGTTCTTTAATTATTAAAGTCTTAAGTTTTTTCATCGTATCTTAATTAGATTATAAGTTATATTAATTTAAAAGACGAAACCTGGTGAGAATGGTAGAGTTACAGCTATAGTTATAGTTATAACAGCAGAGTTATAAAACTATAATATATGGTTGTTTTTGTTTCATCATGTAGAAAAATAAAAAATATATCAAAAAAATTTTAATTGTTTACAACAAACTGTTTATTAAATAAATAATGAAAATTAAAATATAAACAATTTTTTTTTAGTTATCAAAGAGAAAGATAAATTATTATTAAAAAAAAAGTATTTCCTTAATAATAATTAGAAGTGGTAAAAAAAATTTGTTAATTAACAAAACCGTTTTTAAGCAATAAAAAAATTTTTTTAAGGAATGATTTTTTTTAATCATAATTTGCATCAAAGATTACGTTTCTAAAAAATGCAAACTACACAAATAATTTAAAAATAATTTAATGTTTATTTTACGTATGAAGTTTATTAATATTAAAATAATGTTACAAAAATAATAAATATTGAAACAAATGGAATAACACAGTCTTAACAAAAGAAATCGACTGCATTCCTCAACGGTGTTCGATAATCTGCCCATCCAAATAGTTAACCCACTGATTGAACCTTAGAATATGATTGAACGACCCTTTTCTGCCGACCGCCGGGTTTATGATAGATTACAAAAAGAAATTAAATTATCTTATAAACAACGCATTTTTTAAACAATAGGAAATAAAAAATTTTAAAAAATAATTTCCATGTGGCTTCTAATGATAAAAAACGGATCAATAGTAATATAAAATAGTATATTACATTACGAGTGTGGAAAGTGACATTTTTCACTCAAGTGGGAAATATTGTCGCACGAGGCACAAGCCGAGTGCGACTATCACACGAGTGTGGAAAATCGCTTTTCACACAAGTGATGTACAATATTTTTCCTACGACCA